AACTCACAACACCGTGCATACATGCAACGCGCGCGCGTGCACACACACATACACACACACACACACACATACAACCAGACCGATAACCTCGTTTCGCGCGTTATCAGCGTTTCCTTTTTCGCGCGGAAATTTCCACTTTTCATCGACGGTGCCCGACGATGAAATGCGATTTACTCGGAGCTACGACTCCGAGCCGGTTTTGAATTTCATGAGGATACGTCCGGCGCGAGTGAGTGAGCAAAAGAGTGCGCGTGCGCAAGAGAGAGAGAGAGAGAGAGAGAGAGAGAGAGAGAGAGAGAGGCGACAAAAAAAGAAGAGAAATGCGCGCGTTGCGTTTTACTGAATTTTTAGGACGATGTGAAACTAAAGCGACTTTTAATTGCCGGCAGTGCACGACGCGCCTTTGCGGACTTCTAATTTTTTAATTCGCCTCTTTGTGCGTCGCCTGCTTTTTATTTGACGAAGAAAATGCATTTCCTCGTTAATATTCCTTTGCTCTGTGTCGACCGCCCGGCCGGATATACGAAGGGGTCCGCCACGCTATTAAAAGCGCTATGACGCTTCCATAAATTCCGTACTCTTTTTTTTTCTCTCTCTCTCTCTCCCACTTTCCCTCCCCTCCCGCTTCGCCCTTCCTTCCTTTAACGAAACTAAACGATTTCCTCGCATATATAATTTTCCAAGCGCGGTCGTTTATTTCCGCGGAAACATTTACACGCCGCGACTTCGTCTTTCCACGAGGCCAGATTGGATTTCGTTGTGCAACAAGGAGATGTGCCCTGTTTGAATTAAGGACACGCTAAACACGGCTCCTATTATCTTATTTAGCAATCTCGTTACATGACATTTATAAATGCGGTTTATAGCGTAAAAACGCCTGATAAAACGCGGGTTATAACATTTCTCACGTTTCGAAACCGAAAATGCGTTCAAAGCATAATTCCATCTTTTTCACAAATTATACTAAACCGCGTTTATATCTCCTACGATGCGTCTAATTATAGGGATGACTGCGACCGCTTGTCGCACACGATGTTAGTCGTTTTATGAGAAATACTAAATCACAAAAAGTATAACATTCGCTTTTCCTTCCAACCGATAGTAGTTCTTGTTACTTTTATTACTACTCCTCACAGTTGCGGCTAAAATTACGTGCAGATATTTATAACACGAGTTGCGCGCGTGTCTGAACCCTTCTATGTGTACGCAACAATCCGAATGATATTTCGGAGCAATTCGAGGGAAAGATCTCGCGGTCCGAAACTGGGCGTGCTTCTCCTTTCCTGCCACGTAGCCCGGCAAATTTTCCCCGCGAGCCTCGACGCGGACGTAACCCGTTTGGTCTTAGGACGTCACCTCTGCCCTATCGCGAACAAGGTCGGAGGTTGTAGATGGCGAATCGACAGAGGTATGAGAGATAGCGCGGTGGTCTGGGTGAAGTTTGTCGCAAGTTTAGATTGAGTTCAATCTCTGTGCGCGCTCGCGCGTGTACACACACACCGTGTCACCCTTCTTGCACCTTGTGCCCTATCGTGACCGCCGGCCCTTCCTCACCACCCCTTACAGCCAGCTTATCGCCTAATATCCAGCCGGAGGTGGAAATGTCGGGACGTTTCGTCCCCGTCTTCGAGTTCGCGCTTCTATGCCGTCCACTTGGTCCCCCATCACTATCACCCCCATCCACCCCCTACTGGTCCCAACCTTCCACCACCTGAAGGTGACAAAGTGACCGTGTGGAATTGTGCGGCACGCTCATAAGACTTCTTTTTTTCCTGGAAACCATCGACGCGCTGAGTGCTTATCGGCGTACCGTTTTAACGAGCGCCTCGCAAGGGTGGCTCGCTACTGCGTGATTGCCTGATGCTCGTGATTTCTTAAGCACGGCTCGTGAATCGCGCCGATACCATAACACACAGGCGGGAACGGACGATTCCGCGAAAACGCGAATACGTAGAAATGCGGAATTACAGCTCGAAAGCTCGGCAATCTAATATTGGACATACAGTATATTGCATATTGTGTTATATTGTATGTGTGGATATTATATCGGACATTGCGGTATGGATAGAGGAGGGAAGAAAGGGTAGCAAAAGATTGGGAAGAAAAAAGAGAGTACGAAATTCATACTTTTGATTGAAACTTTCCTTATACTTATAAATTCGCGACACGTTTACACGCGCGTTAAACACGATTTGCCTATCGGTCCACTCATCGAACGCGATGAGATTACCGATTTCGTCGCGACGATGGCTCGTCGCATTCCGGAGACACGAAGCTATTCCGGTGCGTCGAGCACCTAACGACGTAACGTTGCGTACGTTAGGAGCACATCGCGTAAATCAAGTTAACGCGGTGCTGCGATGAAAGCCTTCGCTGAGTCGTCGCCGGATGAAATCTGCTTCTCCCCCCTGCCGTGTACCCGTAAAATTCGATCAGGAACACCGTATTCTCGTCGGCTGATGGCATCATTACCTTACTTCGCCATTTTACCGGCAACACGGCGAACAAGGCACACTACTACGCTACACGGCCGGGAAAAGGAGTACGAACGAGTCGATGTTACCTTCTTCTACCCCGTCCCTCTCCCCCCTACGAATTTCGCAGGATGAGCTTTTCCGTGTATCACATATAGTCGAGAGAGGACGTCTAAAACAATACCTTTATATTTTATCCGCCGCGCGCGCTCACGAGAAGATATATTCTACTTGACAACTTTCCGAACTGTGTATTATAAAATGAAATCTCTCCGTCCAATGTGTCTGTGATTTTCGATACTTTCTCCCTTTTCTCTTCTTTTCCAATATGGATTGTGCTCGCATTGTCGCGCTAAAAGCGTGAGAGAATGAAAAGCTGGAGGAAAATATGAAACAGAGTGAGGACCAAAGATCCAGAAATGGTAAGGCCAGAAGGGAAAGAGATACCTTCTAGGAGAAAGAGCAGTACGCGGAGGTAGCCAGACGCCGGGCGTTTCCTTAATTGCATTTTTATGCTCGCCCGGATTTCCGGGCCAGCAAGAGGGTCCGGGTCCGAGGGTAGAGGTAAGAAAGGATTACATTATACCATAGGCAACAGGGACTCTGCCACTGGAACCTGCCGCTAACCGTTAATGCGTCTTGACTCCTCCGCGGGATGAACAAATTTGGTTATTACACTCTTTTCCATTCAGAGGATTTTATTTACGTGCTCGCTCCAAGAACTCGACAAAAATTGGAAAATACAAAGTTTAAAAAAATACAAAAATGAAAAATAAAATTGGAACAGAAAGGAGCGATCGATGATCGTTTCCTGATAACCCGCCCGCGGAATTTAGATAAAAAGTTGAATTTTATAATAACATATGAATTCTATTGATATTCTTTTTAATTTTTTTATTATGTATAAAAATGACTTAATCTCTATTATCAAATAATATATAAATTGTATTAATATCTTCCAACTAATATTAATTCAGCGATACGGCAGATGTATTAAAGAGAGAAAATATCAAACACCGGTCAGATATTTCTTTCGAAGTAAAGCACTTATAATGATTGAAAGTTAGAGGAGGAAGGAGGCAACCAAAACTAATTATAGAAGCTGGCTGAAGCGGCGAAGCTAATTTCGATCTTAACTGAAAGTAAATTGGAACTGAGCGCGAATACTGTAAGGCGATTGTGTCTTGAGTTTTTGGAAAACCTTGTTCCCGGGATTAAGGAAGCGAGAGAAGTGAGAACTCAACAATTTCAGACGCTACGGAGGCACGAGTATAGAAAACAAATTGAAGGCAACTGAACCTCGATAAAAATAAAGACAGAAAAGTTCATCCGACTTCTTTATCGTTCTCGAAATATCAGAAATGAATTTCGTGTAGATTTCCTTCGTAAAAGGAGAGGACATGCTTTGTAATAAATATCTTTACATTTATATTTATCTATTTATCTTTATAGTTGATCGATTTATCATTATTATTTTCTCCACTTGAGGCGAATTACAACCCTTTTATCCGGGATATAACTTCTCTCTCGTCGACCTGAATGTGTCTCCGATTTCACGAGCGCCAATCGCGATTCCATGTTATCCTAAATATCCCCGGAAACTCGATAGCGGAGTCGGACAACGGCATGGAGTCGCGAGGGAAATGCGAAGAGAAAAGAAGAGAGAAGTGAATTTCGATCTGCCGCGTTCGAATTCGTGTAACAGTCGCGAATAAGTTCGAACTGTCTTGTACCATCGACCGTTCGTTCCACCCCGAGCCGTCCTTCCAGCCCACTCTCCTCTTCTGGCTCTCGGATTTATTGAAATTTTATGCGGTATCCCGACGAGAGAGGTCCGACTCGGAAGTTTTATTGACGGCTGGTGGGTGGCCGGACCTTATATTACGAGGTAGAAAGAGGGGGAGCTTCTCGATTTCGCTGCACGGAGCTTATTCCATTTTGCCGCGCTCCAAAGAGAAAGGGAGGAACTCGCGGATACATGGATGTCTCAGTCTCGATCGGAGATGAAAAGGATCTCGGTGGAAGGCTATCCGATTCGCGGTTGTGGTTACATAATACATGTTTCGTAGCGCGGCGCGTTATCAGCGGTGATGGTGTTGGTGGTGTGGTTTCGCGGATATTAAAAGTAATAACTCTTCATTATTACTTTTCCGCCCAGCGGGGTGTTCGGTGACCTCGCGAGTTTTCACTCGTCGCCGTCCTCGCGACGCATAACAATGGGAGGGTTGCGTTAATAACTCCGTAGAAAGAAAAAAAGAATAAAACGCGATTCATTTCGAGTATTTTGCGCGGAGACAGCAAATTCATCGCGATGGCAAATAACGTGGGCAAAATTCGGTCAAAGCGATGATATTCCATCGTATTCTCGTCCCGGCACGTCCTTAATTTCCACCGTCCTGCGCGATAGTATCTTCCCATCAGCGTAAATCGGAAAACCGTTTATCGGCCGCCAACGACGACAGCACGAGAGAAAGAGAGGCGAAGAGGGAGAGAGGAGGAACACATGACAGAGCGAACGGTACTCACCCTAGGTTATGGTTGTCCGTGTTGTCGGAAGCATCGTCCGTCACGGAATCCTGCGTGAGTGGGCCCTGGGTGACGTCCACCCCCATGCTGCCCAAATCCAACGTAGCGTACGTTCTGCGTGCCTGCACCCTCGTTCCGCCGTCCCCTCCCACGCCGCCGGTCACCTCGCCGCCCCTGCCGCCGCTGCCGACCAATTGTTGATACAATTCGTCGTACAGAGAGCCGTCATTCTCATTGCTGTTTAGAGCATCGTCCAGCCGGGCTGGATCCAGATGGTAATTGGGGTTCTCGAAGGAGAGAAGGCCGTTTTCTGCAAACAGATGAGAAAGACATTTCATTTTGAGATTTGTCATTAGTATAATAATTGTGCGCAAAAATATCGGAGACGAGGAAACCAACGGGGAACGTTATTATACATATAATCTACGGGGTGTGGACAAAAAAATTAAAATATTACATTGTGGAAAATCCACATCTCCCGTTACTAATCCGTTCAACAGATACGACATGATTGGCAAGAGGCGAAAGGCGAAAGTCTCGATTATCATCGAAACAGAAGTTTGACATCATTGCGACGCGGAGAATGAATTGTTTACACGAGAGATCGCCCCTCCCCCTTCCCGCAAAGGAACACGAATATTTCCGCAACAATTCGCATGATAATCGCGATCGATTGCCCAAATGGTGAGAAAATGGGGTGGGGAAATCGAGGTGATCGTAAAACGACGAAACGGATGGTCTAGAGAGAGTAGACATCGCGTTTTATTCAGGCACGTCACTTCTATCGCCTGATTCGAGAGACCACGAGGCGATCGTGTCTTGTATCGGCCGTAGAAAATTAGACATCGATTTTGCCCGACGCATGCGTTCGGGTTGAGTCGTCCTTTCTTTCTTTCTTTCTCTCTTTCTCTTGAAAGCGGTCGCCTGACGTGACTCCGCACGCGATAATAGTCGTCGTGTGTTTCTTCAGGAATATCACTTCGTAGAAATCCCGAATAGCACCGTTGCGTTTCGCGTGGTGCCCGATACTCCAGTCTTTAAATATCAGCGGATAACGAGCGGCGCAAAGGTCAAGGTTTTGAGTTAAGGTAGATCATGGTAGCGAGGTAGACGCGTTCGCGCTCGCAGCCGCCGGTGAGGGCCGCTCGTGCACAGGACGTTCCAAAGGTCGTACGATGCGTATCGATAACCGACGGATTATCGGCGGTGTCTCCCGATATCGGAACGACCCGTCACCGCGCTAATCTCGTGGTTGGAATTCCGCAAGACCCGCTCTGCATTTTTCACGGGATTCCGCGAGACTTCGATGTAAGATAATTGTCAGACCGGCCGGCCGGCGGCATAAGATAATTCACGCGGGCGAATGAGGGAGGATCAATTTCTTTTGATGATTGTAAAACCGACGAATCGCTCGAGTTTGGTTGCGCACTTTGCGAAGGGGTGAAGCCAGAAGGACGAGCTGAACCACCGTGCTGGAATCCAATTTAAGTTCGGCTAATCTATCGCGGCGGCGATTACGGTAAGAAAGCTTGTCATTGGAGATCGTCGAAGGTACGGCATTATCCGGTGGTAGACGCTGAGGAGAGAGTAATGGCTCGAGCTTTAAGCTTTAAGCTCGCCCGGGATAGATAGCCAAGTTAAATACTGCACAGTCGCGGTTATCCGATATTCCGACTATCTTCGCGGTAACTCGCGCACGGAATACTAATAAAATTTATTCAGCACGGGTTAATATTGGCGGAGTACACCCCGCCCCGTTAATATAGAGCTTGCGGCCACAGGAATTTACATCGCACGGCCATTACGATTGTTCATGCGCGACCGTTTCGCGTAATCGCTAATACATCAGCAAAAAAAACAAAATAAAAAAAAAGCAAAAAGGAACGAAAAACATCCACAAATAACTGTTTAATTGAGTAATCTAGATGCGTATAAAAACGTGTCTGCGCATAAAATAATGATCGCTTGAAAACATTCAGTTTCCCAGCCCGGGGATGGGAGGAGGAGAAGAACGCGACTGTACTTTAATATAACGCGCTCGTCGGCGTTTGTTGAGGCTGTATCACACTAGCGATTGGCGACTGCATTTACAATTGCCTCTTGGCCAATTCAGCAGTCAGCAGCTCCTTTCTGATTGGTCAAGGAACAATCAGCGAACGCAGATGTAGTCGCCAATCACTAGTATGTTATGGACATTATGCACGTAATCACAATTATTTCTGTGACGCTTGCGCTCGCGAAATAGTCCGCAAAGCGATTATCCGTCCGATCGATGTCTCGCTCTCGCGCTACTCACTGATGATCCTGAGCAAGACGATAACGGCGAGAATGACGTTGTACAGGAACCGACAGAAAGAGTCCATGCTGCTCTGACGGCTGTCATCTTGGCGAATAGCCCGATACTCCGCGATTCTCGCGCGAAATAATCGGCAGGAGGCTGCTCTTATCGACGCGCTATATCGGCGAGCGCGCGAACGTGCAAGAGTTCCAAGTTGACTCTCTCCTTGGCCTCCTTTGTTGCCCTTCCTTCCTTCCTTTCTTCCATTCGCGGCTCTTCTCTATCTAGTCTACCCGTTTCACTTCCGCCACTCGGTATTGATTCGACCACTGCGAGCTTAAAGCTTCCTCGCTCTCGAAATCCCGTGCTTCTCTTTCTTAGCTCGAAGCGACTCGCGGCTCGAATTCGATCCTGCAGGTAGGACTAAAAATACTTACTGCAACGTCCCGTCTTATTTCTCGTTCGTAATTCTGTACCCGAGAGACAAAAGGAACAAGATTCGAGGACTCGTCTTCTCGAGGAAAAGGAGCACATCGTGCTTCAGAATCGCGGGTGAGTTTTAAAATAGATAAGTCGGAATGAGTAGTTGGGATAGGATTTGCACGAAAAATAATCGAATGAGCTTCGTTTCGACATAATACTTTCTAGATTTTTTTAAATAGAATATCTCATTTAAAATCAGCGAAAAGTGGCAGTATTTTCACTCGAAGCAACGAAGTGAAAATACCGCCATTCGAAATGAATGTTTCATTCAATCGATTGAGATAAATATGTTCTTGTGATGACAAAGCACGCAAGATTCATTCTTTAATTTCAAATAAAGATAATCATTCGATGATTATGAGCGGAGAAATTCACTCTGTATTCGAATTCGTGTGACTCGATGGCTCCTTGTATTTTTCGAGTGCAATTTAACTCTAAGAAATTTAGAGAGTATGTTGAAACTAACAATTATTCGGCTCGTTACTTCCTCTCAGTTGCGAAATTCTACGCGAGAAATAATCTAATTCGCGTGAGCTTCGATTCGACGTAATAGTTTCTAAATTTTTTGGAGTGGAATCTTCACATAATAAAGATACTCAAAATCGTAAGAGTGAATATTTTATTGAACCTTAGAGTGGATTTTTATTCCATATGAGCAAATATTTCAGTCAATCAAGATAAATGTGTTCCTGCACAACGAAGAAATGTATCAAATTTATTCTTCAATTTCGAGTTGAAACATTGACTCGACGATTAAGTGGATAGTTTATTCTGTACGAATGGAAAATCACTCGAATTCGAATAACTCTATTTTTTGAGTGAAAATTCACCCCAAGAGAAATTTAGAAGGAGCATGTTGAAACTAACACTTATGAATATCGGGCTCATTGTTTCCTCTCAGACGCGAAATGCTACGTCGCGGAAAAAGCTATGAGAGCTGACAACTATGACAATAGTGAAAAATCGCAGACACACGCGTTGAACGCGAGTTCGAGGATGCGGTTTATTCAGGCCGCGTTTGCACGGGTATCGTCAATAAACACCATAGCTTCGCATTTATGGCAACCGTGGCTGACCGCCACGTAAATACCGATCACAAATCTGCGATTCCGAGCGCGAATGGGCAGTGAACTCTCATCATTCGCGTCGATACGTTTCATCATTCAAACAACGCTCGCGCGGGTGTAACGATCTTCCCTTCCCCGTTCGATCGCGTACATGCATGCAGTCGCAAAAACACACGATATTAACTTGTTGCATGTGAAACGACGGTAAATGAATTACGCCCTGAAAAACACAAACTACCTACGTCCGCGGGAAATGCTGGGCAAGACGGAGTATTCTACCGATCGCTTAGGTCCGTATTAATAGTTCTTCTTTGAAACTCAAGTGAGATACTCAAATTTGAATTTAGTGTGAGATGATGAGAGACGATTTTCCAGTTAAATCACGATTATATATATATATACGAGGGCTGTATGATAAGTACCCGTGTTAAGGAAGGAAAAGCATTTAAAAAAATTTTTTTTACTTATTTTCAGTTGACATAGTCTCCTTTCAGCTCGATACACTTAATCCAGCGATATTCCAACGTTTTTAATCCAAAAAATATAATTTATCGAACTCCGCAAAGGTCTCTGTTTCGGCGATGACTTCCTTGTTTGACGTGAATCGCTTTCCGCCAAGCCATTTTTTTATGTTTGGAAATAAATAGAAATCGCAGGGGGCCAAATTTGGAGAATAGGGTGGATGAGACAGCAATTCATAGCGTAATTCGACCAGTTTTGCTGTGGCGATTGCGGACGAATGAGCTGGTGCGTTATCATGATGAAAGAGCACTTTTTTTCTTCGCCAAATGGAACGTTTTTTCTTCAATTTAGTGTCGAATCGGCCTAATAAATCAGCATAATACTGCCCCGTAATTGTCTTTCCCTTCTCTAAATAGTCGGTAAAAATGATGCTTCGCGAATCCCAAAAAACATGGTGGCCATGATCTTTCCGGCCGAATGGAATCGTTTTTGCCTTTTTTGGAGCAGGAGCAGGTTTGCCGAGTGAAGTCCACTGTTTTGACTGTTCTTTCGCTTCTGGCGTGTAGTAATGGATCCATGTTTCGGCAATAGTAACGAAACGCCGCAAAAACTCTTTCGGATTGCGCTTAAACATGTCCAAACAGTGCTCCGAAGTTGTCATGCGATTCCGTTTTTGTTCTACTGTGAGCAAACGCGGCATCTCGTCGATAGCTTTCATATTTAATTTTTCGTGTAGGATATTTTGTACGCGTTCAATTGAGATATTTATAATGTCAGCAATCTCTCTGATCTTCTGACCAGGCGGTCTTCTAACACGATATCATGGATTTTGTTGATATATCCATATCCTCCGTAGTCATCTCGATCGGACGATCTGGGCGCTCTTCATCAAAAACGGATGTTCGGCTACGCTTGAATTCATTGAACCAATATCTGATGGTAGTCATCGAAGGTGCATGGTCCTTATAACGGCATGCAACTTCACTTTGATTTCCTCACACTTTCCATCCAAAAAAAGGA